TCCCACCCTTCTTTTATTAACAGGTAAACTAAACTATTTAATGGTAATACAGTTCTATTGATTAGAATTGCCATCACAGAAACGTTACTAAACCCTGTTAAAGGAAACATTTTGTCATGTAGGATTCCAAAAGAACCCAAATCTACTACTGAAATCAGTCAACAAGTATAAGAACCCAATGATCACTTCTTCCTACTAGTATGATCCTAATTTAACAAACAAAACAAGTATTGGGGAGGATATGGAGAAACTGGAACCCTATATACATTACTGGTGGCAATTTAAAATGGTGCAGCTACTATGGAAAGGTTTAGAAGTTCCTCAAAAAGTGGAAGACAGAATTACCATATGACTCAGCAATTCTACTCCTAGATATATAGCTAAAAAAACTGAAAAGAGAGACTCAAATAGATACTTGTACACCAACGTTCACTAAAGCATTATTATTCACAAGAGCAAAAAGGTAGGAATAACCTAAGCATCCATCGACAGATGAAGGGATAAATAAAAGGTGGCAGACTCATACAATGGATTATCAGCCAAAAAAAGGATGGATGTTCTGACTGAAGCTACAACACGGAGGAGTCTTGAAAACATTACACCAAGTGAAAGAAGCCAAATGCAAAAGGACAAATATTTCAATATCCAGAATAGGTGAAGAAACAGAGACTGAAAATAAATTAGAGGTTAACCAGGGGCTGGAAGGGAAAATTGGGAAGTACTGATTAACGGCAACGTAGTTTGGGATGATGACAAAGTTTTGGAAATAGACATCAGCAATGGTTATACAACATCGTGAATTTAGTTAAGTGCCACTGAATTGTGCATTTAAAAATCAGTGAGATGGCAAAATTTTAAATGTAAGAATGACATAACAATTTTAAGCATTTTTTTAATATTTATTTTTGAGAAGACCACAAGCGGGGGAGGGGCAGAGAGCCCAACGCGGGGCTTCATCTCAGGAGCTGTGAGATCATGGCCTGAGCCAAAGTCAGATGCTTAACCCACTGAGCCACTCAGGCGCTCCACTGAACCATACACTTTAAATGGGTTGTATGCTATGTGAGTTCTATCTCAATAAACAGAAGAATCCAATAGACTTGGGGGTACAATGATAATTAGAGATATTTTACATCAATTAGTATAACTGAGAGTAGAGCCAATAATTGTTTATCCAGGCAAAGTTTAGTTGTGAAGGCAAATTGTAGTGATGTACAGTTTGACTGCACCAGACTTCTCCAATTCTGATATAATTTACAATTGAGTCTATAATAAAACCTAGCCCAGTAACAAATTAGAGGGAAAGGTATTTCAAACAAAATGTCACATATACTCCAGAGGTCCACACACAACCTTTCAAGGTATACAGCTGACCCTTGAACAACACAGGTTTGAGCTCTGTGGGCCTACCTGCATGGGGAGAAAATTTTTTTTTAAATAAATACAGTACTGTAAATGTATTTTCCTAATGTTTCTTTTCTCTAGCTTACTTTATTGTAAAACTACAAGATATAATACATATAACATACATGTTAGTTGACTATGTTATCAATAAAGCTTCTGATCAACAGCCAAATATTAAGTTTTAGGGGAGTCAAAAGTTTTATGTATTTTTGTATTTTACTGAGGGGGTGGTCAGCCCCTGATCCCTATGATGTTCAAGGGTCAACTGTACTTTAGAAGAGTGATTCCCAAACACCAGTGTAAGACAATGCCAGTTATGGAAACTTACACAAGCAATGAAGACAATAAGCCTGTTGATCTAAAGTGTTAACTACCAATCACTCTTATTTATTAAACAAGATTTCGGCTAGGCAACAGTGGCAATACTGGGGTCTTCACAGTTGGTAGGAAGCCAGGGATGGCTTATTCTCACCTCTGCTCAAGGTCCTTACCTTTATACCTGCTCTATCTCCTATGTTTCTTTTTAAAACTTGCACAAATCTTTTACTAAATCAGGCTAACTCTCAATATTACTCACAGTATCTGATTTATACGTTGCAAAATTACAAACAAATCCTAAAGATAACTGGACACTTTGGATTATCAGCACCCTCTTTCCATTAGCATGAAAAACGGTAAACTGCCAGTATGGAAATTACAAACATGTATAAAGGGTGAAGGATAGGTCAGATATTCTGTTGTCAGGTTAAAGAATGGATGGGGTTTCTAATCATGTGGATTAATGGGACCATAGATAACCTGAAGGGAAGTCTGGGTTTGGGTTATTTTTAGCTTAATTTGGGAGTTTTTACTGTAAAAACAAAATACATTGTATTTACTTTAGAGGATATAAATAACTTCCTGATAAAAATTCAATGTTACCACTTCATTCAAGGTGAGCATGTTTTTCCGTAAAATTATCATCAAAATGACTTAATCCAAAAATGGAAGGAAGCACATTTAAAAACCAGTCATTTGGGAAAAGACTAATTATTAATACTAATAACGGAACCAGACACTAACCATGACTGAGAAATACAACAAGAGAAGCAGGGAGAAGTGATTCATAACGCTGTAAACCAGTCTATATAGAGACTTACTGGACGGACTGAGTCTTTAGTTTCTCAATTGTGGAATAAAACAAAACATTACAACATGGAACTTTTCCCCCAAAGGAATGTGAGGAAAAGCTTTTAAGAGAAGCCTGGACAAATGACATGAGAAAATTTTGTAATGGCTAGGAGTACCGTATGTTTTTAATTCACCACTTAGAAAAGATGACCCTGAAAACAGCAGAATATGTGAGATCACAGAAAATGTGTCAGCTTCATGATTAAGCACATTATCCTAAACAGGCCCATTTTCTCTGTAGAGACAAGAAACTCTGCTCCGCTGTCACATAACACCAAACTTTATCATGACCATCTGTCCCAGACAGTATGAATTAAGTAGTCGGTCACTGCCACCAGGAAAAACACAGCAACATTCCATGGACAAAGCAAGCAACAAGATGTTGTACAAAGTAGACAAGATTAAGATGCAAAAGGCTTACTTCTAGTTGTAGTTTTAATATGCTTCCTGACTAAGCCATTCATCCTTTCTGGGTCTCCATTCCCAGAACTATAACAACAGGATGGCTTCCAAGGTACAAAGACCTCTAATACTTTATATATAAAAATTAAAATTAAAATTAAAATGTCAAAAAAGAAATCAAGAGCTCAATAAATGCCTTGCCCTCACAAGTCAGCCTCTGAGCAGAAGAAAGTTCAGGTTCAATAATCCACAGATAAATATTAGAGTTACCCTTAGATCCACAGAATAGAATTTTGAACGGTTTCACTTGGAGTTCTTCCCAAGTTATTGTCAGATAACTTTGTCAGATGAGAGAAGTCCACTTTATATAAAAGCCTAGTGTTCTTCAGACAGTAAAGCCATGGAGAACTCATTCTGTAAACAAGCTTCAACTATTATAGGAACAAAAAAAAAAAAGAACATGGTGGCAAAAATGAAAGAAAACCACCATCTAAACAGAACCAGTTTTATAGATAAGCTTAAAATTTGTTTTACATGCTGTGCTTCAGTGTGTGCCACTGGTACGCAATAAATCATTGGTTTATTTTGTTCTGTGGGAGACAAACAGGGTGTGGAAGCAGTTTTTCTCACAGGGTTACTTTATCCAAATGCAGGAAAATCCTGAGCTCTTTGGAGCTCCTAGATTCCAAAGACGGTCACGAAAAACCAACAAGAATAAATCACAGGTGAACCACTGCTTCTGTGAGTGTGTACATTTTTTTCAAAGGCTAAAAACCTTTCAAGATCATGTCACATTGACACCCATTATATGCTGACTAAACAGAGCCCCTGGAGGCCCTGTGCCTCAGCCCTTGAGTCTCCAGGACACCAGGTCTCCCCTCCAGCCTTCCTCGGCAGGATCTGCCTTAGCGCCAAGGCAGGTGGGGGAGGGGCACCGACAGGTTCCAGAGCAACACAAAGGCCTACAACCATGACACTCAGACTGCACTAGTCTAGGGGCCAGTTGCCTTTTAAGAAGTACCCTCAATCTTTTTGGCCACTTTCATCAATCCTTATTCACAGCCAGTTAGGTCAACCGCCCGGAGCAGGATGGAGCCAGACTTCTCACTACAACTCTTAACCTCAGGATCAGCCCTCAGTATCTGGAACTCAAATTCGGCTTCCTTTCACCTTCCCTCAGCTTGGTTCCTATTAAGTTGTTTTCTTTCCTAGCATACTAAAGGAAGAAAATATTTACTAAAATAAAGCGGGCAAAAGCCTCAAAACATATGGTAGACAAGATGCCTACCAAACATAGGTATCCCTACTCAATTACAGTTGTCAACCATTTATTATAGCACAATGCAGAATGTCTTTGGGGAAAACCAAAGACTATAACCTTAAAAAAAAAAAAAAAAAGAAAGAAAAAAAAAGCCACATACCTAAAAATGGAATCCTCACGAGACAAGGAAAGCCAAGATTTTGATCTACTCTTGGGTTAGGCTTAGCCTTTGAGAATATAACAATGGCCAAACTAAGCTGCACATGACCACGGGGAGTGATTAGGGCTGAATTAAAATAAGGCATTGTCAGGTATTTTGAACATTACAGTAAAAGCTGGAGAAGAGCAGAATATCATTCAATAGTTTGCACATGTGACCACAATTCAAGGAAAAAAATCCTTTAAAAAATTTTGTTTTAATATTTTTGAGAGGAGAGAGAGAGACTGCACGAGCAAGGGAAGGGCAGAGAAGGTGACACAGAATCCAAAGCAGACCCCAGGCTCTGAACTGTCAGCACGGAGACCAACATGGTGCTCAAACCCATGAACTGTGAGATCATGACTTGAGTCGAAGTCCGACACTCAACCGACTAAGTCACCCAGGTGCCCCAGGAAAAAAATCTCCTTAGATGGCTAATTGATGAAACCCTCCCTATCATATTGAGCAGTCATATTCCTTCCACGTGGTTTCCTGTACAAAGAGGTTCTATTCCCTCCCCCCACCTCACGAGGAAACATCAATGATTACATCATTACTACTTACATTCAAAGCATTCTTTGCAGCTTCTGCTTCTGAACGACTGTCAAAACTGACAAAACCTACGGGCTGAGGAAAGAAAAAAAATATGAAGAAAAAACATATCAGGGGACATATATTTTTCTGGGTCAAAGGTGATGTCAAACTGAAGAGCTAAGATAAAGAAATGACCACAGGCAATGGGTAGAAGAAGTAAGAAAGCCAGTTCAAAAGAATCATGACGCAGTGGCTTAGCCAAACTTCTAACATGAATCAATAGGGATTGTGAAGAGTGGTTCTTCAAGGGCACAGCTGGGGATTCAGAGGATCATAAAAAAAAATCTAGAAGGGGTTGGAAGGTGAGCAGCAGTGAACAAGAGAATAGAGGAAAACTTGGGTCAAGAGGCTCTACTTTCCTAAATCAAATTCACTGTACCTCAGTTTCTTCATCTTTTAAAATGGAAAGAGAACCGAATCACCTTTTGGTACACTGTAAGTGCAAGGAATACAATGACACAATGATAAAAGCCCTGAACTCTCACTGCACGATCAAATTTATAAAATGCATTTCCATTGCAAATCCCAAGGGATACCTTAAAAAGTTTAACTAGGTGTGTAAACCAAATTGTTCCAACTGAATAGAGAGGAGTGATAATCCCTCTGGACTCAGTATCTTCTAGTCCAGAAAGGTGCTTGCAACATAGCTTACTCACAATAAATCAGAGAATACCTTGCTGAGAGATGAAAGTGACTGAGAGGTGAACCTGCTAAGGTATTCAGCATGGGGGGGCGGGGGGGGGGGCATATAGCTAAAAATTTTCAAGAAGCTTATAGAAGCTATCAGGGTCTTGGATTACCACCCTCCATTCTGCACCTTCTGTGCTCTACTCTAGACTTGAGACTATACCTGTGATTTTAGGAGTTAGAAACACAGGAAAGACAGCACGATTCCTCCCAACAGATAGTTACACTGACTACAAAATTTTGCCTATTCAACCTTTTTTTAAAAAGGAAGAAATGGGAATAATTGGATCATTTGTTTTGAATATACAGACCAATCCCAACATAACCACGCTGGAGGCATTACATTTGCTTTCCTCAGGGACAGCCTCAGATATCCTAGCTGGAGACAATGGAATTATGAATCATTTTCCTGTGCTAATTCCTAACCAATCTCACCCTTAATTTTAAGTCAACAACAAAAACCAAATCCCAATGAGAATAAAAAAAGAGAATGCTCAGGCCCCAGTAACATTCCTGAAGAAAGTCAATTCAAATTTATTGTAGTAGTGATCATTTATATTCAAGTTTGAAATTCTTACCTGCTTAGATGTGAGCTTTATAAGAGAACCCTCGTAGCCCTGAAAATTAATAAGAACCAAATTTAGACCAAAAGACACTAAGGAAAAAAAAAAAGCAATTAAAAAAATGTTTTTTGAGTGAGCAAGCAAGAGGGGCAGAGAGGGAGGGAGAAAGCATCCCAAAGCAGGCTCCACGCAGTTTGTGCAGAGCCCAACACAGGGCTCAAACTCCAAATCATGAATGAGATTATGACCTGAGTAGAAATCAAGAGTTAGAGGCCTAATTAACTGAGCCACACAGGTACCCCCCAAAAAACAATTTTAATGGCATCTTGCTCAAGTAAAAAGGAGTCCTTTGGCTACTACTAACTCTTCTTTCAAATGCCTCTTAAGGTAATTGAGAAAGCAAATTTTACACACACATGCACGCACACACCTACCTATGCTTCCACACTTAATGCCTAAAACAAATCATATCCTGAAATTTATGCGTGTATCTATGTTTCTTTTCCTTATTTTTTTTTTCAATGAAATTATACAATAGTAGGAAAATGGGTTCCTGTCGACAGGTCTTTTTCATTTTCCAGAACTAGGAGAGTGAAAGGAGTAAATTTAGTTAAGCTAGGAAGATATCTTACTAAATTTGTGATTAAGTACGTGATGACTTGGTCATGGGTCTGCTATAAAATAACATTAAAACATTAAGAATGTCCCCTAAGTAGAACTACTTATGCAAAACTTCAAACTGCCAGGAGAAGTCAGGCAAGTAGTGATGCTAAATTCTGTTGAGTTATTTTGCTTACTTATTGGAGCAGCCACTTTTCATCCTGGTATTCTGACTGGAACATGCCAAGATTCCCTGTTGGCTTCTTACTGCAGATCATCCTCAAGAAGGATAGAAACCCTCCCTTTTCACTCCCCTCCCTTCACCCCTCCTGGCTCCTCAGGTTAAGGATAACAAAATGTGTTTATTTCTGAAAATAATCAATAGCTGGTGACTTGCACTGATGGATGACTCAAGGGGGAAAAAAACACCACTTGACATGATTGACCACCACACATATCAGTGCCAAGACAGATTTGCAGACTAGGGTCAGCCTCCAGGGACTTTAATTAAAAGAGGGTTGTTAGGAATGTACCAGGGTCCTGACTCTAGCGTTGGGGTTTCTGGGCAGGATGTTGGGATTGATTCATCCTCCTATCTTCCCAGCAGAGAACTATGTTACCAATTAGCTACTGTCAACATTTTACCTCAAAGACCTTGAGCTCTTCTGGCCAGAGAGGTCATGATTCACAGCCCTGCCTCTTCCTTTTTCAAGGTGCTGTCTCTGAAAAACTTGGGGGTTTAAACACTCTGAAGGCCTCAGAGGCAAAGGACAAATGGATATTTCACTCAAGTACACCACCACCGGTAGCGATATATCGTGCTCTCAAGTCACAAACTGAAAAACAGCATCACAGACTAGTTCAGAACATGGATGGGGGAGTCAAATTGCTTGGGTCTGAATCCTAGCCCTGTCATTTATTATGTGTAAACTGGAGCAAAATTTGTTGTTATACAAGTTTCATTTTCCTCATCTGAAAAACTGAGGCCAACCCACATGGAGTATGATGCAATTTAAATGGAGTAGTTCATGTAGGAAGGCTTGCTGGCTCACTCTCTCTATACACACAAATACATAACAGTATTCTGTCCTTTTAGATGATCAACTCAATTAAAAAGTCCTTATCCTACAAAAGGGACAGACAGTAGAAATGGCAGCCCTGCAGAAGATACTCAGGAAATCCTATGAAATTGACACTCTCCTCACAACATCATCATCTTTTTTCCCCCACTTCCTCTCAACTAAGCACATCTAACCCTTCTGTTTCCTTCCCTCTGTTCCGTCATCATTGTTACAGTAAGAGGATGGCTATCAGAATAGACACAGGTCTATTAATACATGGTGCCTTCCCGGCACGTGACCTAGATTTGTTGGTGTTTAACAGACTGCCCCTTCAACCTCCTATCTTCCTTTCCTACCCAGATGTTTTCAACTGTTACATCCTACTCTCTCCTTCTCCCTGAGAAGCTAAACTCTGTCCCTCAGTCTGTCTTGCCTCTGTGGCTGGGGTCTTGCTTCAACACAATGGAGGTCTGATCATTAATCAGGATGGCCCACCACCTAATCGTAAATGTGCTCCTGGACACTGCTGCTAACACGTTCTCACTGACCAGCTCAGATACAAGCCCTGAATTCATCATGACTTCTACATGGTCTCCTTGAGGGCCTAGGCCTCCAGCCCACAGTGTACCCAGTCCCATTTTTCTCTTATCCTCAACACAGGCTAGTCTTCAAGGTTTCTCCTTGGTGGTCCAATGCCCCGTTACATTCTCAATTCCAGCAAGGTTAAATAAGTATCTTGAATGTGATTTTACCTTGATAGTCCTAATGGACAGGCAGCTGTGTTGAGTATTACATGATGTGCCAGCATACCAAGTAATTCTTTAAAATTCTGTTTTCCTTTGTATGAAATTTAGGACATTCTTCTCACAGGAAAACAGTGGGTACGTTGTCTAAATAGATATACTTAGTTTAAAAGTATATTTAACTTATGTATCCAAAGAATAGTATTAAGAACAGCATTTCCACTAATAAACCTTGTAGGAATACGGCTTAACTTATATTACTGCACTGGTAATATAAGTAACAGTAATTGATAGAATTTTTGGTCAACTGTACTCAAAAGAATACTCCCGATTTGCAGATGATAAACAGGGAAGACACGAAGGCTGTTCTACGTGCAGAAGAGCCAGATGCAGGTCCACATTAGAAAGAAGAGAGACTTTTCTAGATTAGCTGTTGGGGAGGACAAAACACTGGAGACCATACAGTGAAACTGAGCTGTTAACTCTCCTTTAGTGACCAACCTTGTAAGAGGGTCACCTTATAAGACGCTTTCTCAAACGTATCATTTCTTCTTGCAGAAACCCCACAATGCTCATACACACACCTTCTGTTGCCTTTTTTTTTTTTTTTTTTTTTTAAATTTCTCAAAGAGAAAAAGTACCTTAAATGGTCTGAAAAGCAGATAGAGCTCCCGAGGTTTGATATCCAGAGGGAGACCACTGACAAACAGGGTCCGGACCTGGAAAATAAACAGAAGTGATCAAGAGAGTGGACAATCCAGAGAACAGCTCTCACCTGCAATCTCAGAAACACACTCCTTCATATACTTCACAAGTCCTACCTAGTTCATATTTTTTCCCATAACCCAATTAGTACTCTAACAATGGCATTTACAAACTTATTTCTCCTTTCCCAATTAGCCATTACCTGATTCTAACCCTATAAAGGGAAGAGGTCTACATAGTTAAAAGTATCAGCTTATGGGGGGGGGGGGGGGGGGGGGGGGGGGGGGGGAAGTCATGAGAACAGCAAATCTACCACCTCTCTGCTCTATATCAAATGACTGCAGAACATGGTTCCAAAATAAAAATCTGAACAATTTCTGGTTTTTCCTGTTTGTCCTTGCCTCTCCCTCATCGGCATTAATAATTAATTTTAATAAATGTAAAAAGGTTGTTGAATAACCCAAACACATTTAAATAGTAGCCAAAATGCATAACTCTCCATCTGCTCAGTTCCAAAAGAGCAGGGAAGACTTCACTGACCTATACCCCCTAAGGCCTAAGGTACAAATTACGTGATTAATTTCTACCGAAATACAGAACACTGATGACACACTTTTATTTGGGAGGACTGGAAAAAACACGTTAGCCTTTGACTGGGGACTTAAAGAATAGGAAGAATATTATCACACAGACAAAGTGCAAACAGAGAAGAAAAAGACTCAGAGGCAGAGAAAATACTAATAACCAATGCAATGAACCGGAGGGTGGCACAGTGGATCCTGGAAGAAGGGTGAGCCAAAACTGAACAGGTACCCGAGGATCAAACCACAGGGGGCATCAAAAGTCAATGGCTCAGGAATCTGGTGTTCACTGAATAGGCGGAGAAGTCACTGAATCATTATCACCATGTCTTCTTTCTACTTCGTGTGTTTTGTGGGCCTTTAGTCAAGTTTTCTACACCTTCCCACACAGAGAGATGTAATGAACATGTAATATTGTTAAAATTTAAGATGTACAAACGTAAGGATTCAATATACTTATATACTTATATGTTGGTAGTCACCACCAGAGTATTAGCTACTGAGTCATCTAATCAACCATTTCTTCTTTGTGGTGAAAACATTTAGGATCTACTGACTTCCCAGTATAATACAGTATTGGTAGCTATAATCACATTGCTGAGCATTAGATATCCATAACTTATCCAACTTCTAACTGGAAATCTGTATCTTTGACCAGCATCTCATTTGCCCCATCTTGATCCCCTGGTAACCACCATTCTACTCTGTTTCTATGAGTTTTGACTCCACCTCCACATAATCTATTCTTCTTCTCTACTCAGGCTGATACAATTTGACAGAGTTCCGCATCAGGTATCATGTTGCTACTTTATGAAAAATTCAATGCTGTATTGTTGACCAACTAGAAATCTAGATTTTTCTTCAGTGCAAAACTGGGAGATTTTCTAGAACCCTAATGCTCTCTATTGATTTTGGTTGTGAAGAAGCACAAATCAGGCAAAACCCTTTATTGACCTACCATACAGTAAAATGTCATGCCATTTGCATACAGGTGTGTAATCAACACTATAATGATATAAACAGCCTCAGAATCATGAGGGCCTGTTATTCATTCATATTCTAGATAACTTTATTGTGCTATAGTTGATACACAGATGACCCCTGAACACAGGTTTCAACTATGTATGTGGTCTACTTACAGGCAGATTTTCCCCCCAATATAGTTTAGTACTATAAGTGTATTTTCCTTTCCCTATGATTTTAATAACTTTTCTCAGCTTGTTTTATTGTAATAATATAGCATACAATATATGTAACATACAAACTATGTGTTACCTGTACAACTTCAACAGAAGGCTATTGGGAGAGTTAAGTAATAAGGGAGACAGAAGTTACATGTGGATTTTTGGATTTTTGACCGTGCAGAGGACGGTGCTCCTAATCCCCTACAGGGATCAAGGGCCACTACATAATAAACTGTACATTTACAATTTGATAAACATTAAAAAAAATTCTTAGAGAGTGTGTGCTCCTTCACTATGGGGGTGAGGGGGATCCTAAGCAGGCTCCACACAGTCAGTGCACAGCCCAAAGCAGTGAGATCGTGACCTGAGCCGAGATCAAGAGTCAGATACTTGATCAACTGAGCCACCCAGGCACCCCTGCAATTTGATATGTTTTGACATATGTATAACCTGTGAAACCAACACAACAATCAAGATAATTAACATATCCACCATCTCCCTAAGTTTCCCGCTACCCTGTCTTACCATCCGCATCCCCAGGCAATCACCAATCTGTGCCTTCTGTCACTATGATTATAAATGGTCTAAAGGTTTATACAAATGGAGCCATAAAGAACATATTCTTCTTGTCTGGCATTTTTACTTCAGCATAACTATTCTGAGATTCACCCACTGTAGCATTATCAATAGTCTATTCCTTTTTTACTACTGAGTAGTATTCTGTCCTAAGGATACAGTTCATTTATCCATTCATTTGATGGTACAGGACATTTGGGTTATTTCTAATTTTTGCTTTTACAAATAAAATGGCTTGGAGATGAACATGCACTGATTTGTCCAAGTCTTTGTATGAATATGTTTTCTTTCTTCTTGGTTAATTACCTAGAAGTAGAAGAGCTGAATGATACGGTACGTATAGACTTAATTTTTTTAAAAACTGCCCTTCAATTCCTTCTTTTATTACCCAGAACATGATAAATGCTATGTACTTAAAAACAAACATATATTCTATTGCTCTTGGATAGTACTGTTTTACAAATGCTGACAAGGTTCAATTTATCTTTTGCCTTCTCCCATCTCCCTCAACTTTGCCAGAGATAAAGACTCTTTTTCCAGGAACTTTCTTTTATCAAAGTTAAGGCCAAATTACTGACGATTGCCAAAGACACAGATGAGGAGGGAATCCTGTATTCAGTGTGCCCTCATTACCATCCACAATGTTCTTCCCACAGTCCAAAAAAGTAAACACCATCTGTCCTTGGCTGCTCAAGCCAGGACGATCTAGAAACCGAGGGAATCCCAGCTCCCATTCACTCTGACTTTGATGAGTAGTACCCAGTATGTTTGACATTATGCCAGGTGCTGACTATATGACAAATTTCCAGGGAAATATGTAATAAGCAGATTCTATGGTTTAAACGCTGGAGTACCATTTGTCCATTAGCTATGTGACAGATATTAATTAAAATTTAGGGAGTTAACTTAGAAAATAAACTACCATTTACAGTATTGTTCTAAAGAAAAATACTTTACAAACTTCAAGTCAAACAGTTTACCAACAAAACATAAATCGGGGGGGGTTTCAAAATATTACGTGATGTAAATTAAGGCTCATTTACATCAATAACATGTACTATTATGCAACCGATAAAAATTACTGTCAAGAAAAAGAATTATGTTCAAGGAAAAAGTACAAATAGTTCGATTTTATTCTGTACAACAGCCCACACCCATATGTATTGAGAGGTATAACACGCCTTTGTGGGACATACACACCAAAACAGTTATATTTATATGGCTTACCCGAGTGGTGGAATAAGTGATTTTCATGTTGATTAGCTTTAATACACATGTATTAGATAACTTTCTTTAGTGGAGAACTGCCTAGATTTTTTTTTTTTTTTTTAGGAAACTAAACAATGTCACTATTTACATCAATAAAATTGTTTATAAGAGGAAACTTAATTGTAAACATTTCAGAATTAGAAGTGATGCTGATATTAGTATCCCAAAGTGTTATACTTGAAATAAATTGCACTCCCATTGGCCCTAAGTTTGCTACGCACTCACAGATGACAAGAGGCTCAAAGAAACAATTTTGTTCTAACTGGAGGCAACTAAAATTTCTAGTATTTTATTTACACATGGACACAAGTTACATTTCCTATAATCTAGTGAATCTCATCTCAAAAGCCTTCCTAGATATCTCATCTCTCACTGAAGAGAGACTGTCTCCTGACAAAACAGATGGACTAGAAGAAAGAATTTTTAAATAATTACATTATGTATTTATGAGTACAACTAAAGGTCACTTAAATCCAGTACTTGAAATCTACATGCCTCAAATCCTTTCCAAACCTTCTCAGACTAGGAAATATTAAGTTAAAAAAAAAATCATGGATAATGAATGGAAAAACCTCTTCCTGAATATCTAACTCCTGCTATTTCATTGTGACTAGGTTCTAGATAGTGGGGATAAAAAAGGTGGGGGGGGGGGGGCGGCTCCTGGGTAGCTCAGTCAGTTAAGCATTCAACTTCTGCTCAGGTCATCTCACGGTTCACAGTTCAGGCTCTGTGCTGACAGCTCAGATTCTGTGTCTCCCCCTCTCTCTGCCCCTCCCCCACTCATTCTCTCTCTCTCTCTGTCAGAAATAACACAAACATAAAATTTTTGTTTAGAAATAGTTTAGTTCCCCCCTTCTCACCCCATTTTTTTTAAACCTTAACCATTAAATAGGATAACATTTGTCTTTACTATGTCTGTGGAAATCACAAAGGTAAAGCATGATTCTTGCTTGCAAGGAGCTTAGGGCCAGTGAAGGAGATAGAACATGCAAATAAAAATGGTAACAGAAAGCTTAATTCATTCACAAAGTAACCGAAAGTGAGGGGAAAGTCTGAGACATGTAAATAATCAAATAGGGAAAAAAGGTCCCAAAACAACAAATGGAAGATACCCAAAGAACTTTGTGGCAGGGTCAATCATTATCCAAGGCAGCCCTTCATTTACACAGATGTGCCTGGCACCATGCCTCTAGCATCACAGATGTTTACTTTGTCAGATACACGGGGAAACACATTTCTTAGTCAAGGACACAACATGCCTCATAGAAGTGCAAGACATGAAGCTGCTGACAGCTCTATCCCAAAGGGACGCTAATGGATTCTGTGGATGTACCTCCAACTTCATCTTCACACCACAACAGAACTGAAGGAAATGCCAGGGGGAATCTCCTGTGCTGGACAGGA